GAGCACATCAACAGACAAAAGAAAGTTTAGTTTTTTGACTATCAGTACTGAAGCCATCTTTATAAGTATCTGACATCCAACCATGTCTCATGTCGAAAGAAGAGTAATCTCACATGTTTCACTTCCAGGCTTAGTTCCTAGTTTTCAAATTTTAGGAAGTGTAATATAATTTACTTCAAATCCCATTACACTTAGTGTTTAAATTGCAACAGCAGCAGATTTCACATGGAACAAGGGCACAGCTTTTAGCTTTTAGCCACATACAGAAATTATATACCACATTCAGTACAGTAGAGTACACTATATTAACAAGCGCAAGGAGTTTAGTAAACTTAATGCATTGTTGCTGTATCTTTCCCTCTAAACTGAACCAGTTGAGCTTCTGAGCAGACAGATTGCTGCTATGGAGAGTAAGACTGCTGTGGGGGCTCAGGGAAGGGACATGAAGGTTGCTGGGGTCCTGGGTGATACACTGGAGGAAACAGCACGTTATACCTGCTGTGGGTGAAAAGATTATAGTCCATGGGCATGGAAGTTTGGCAACATCCAGGATATCCTGGATGCAGTGGATGCTGGGCCTGTGGAGGAGGGGCTGAGCCAGGGGTTTCCGCAAGAGCTGGTGCAAGATCACAGTTCCCACAGGAGCCAGAGCAATAGCTATTTTGAAAGAGGGTGCCAAGTTTTACAATGAGCTACTGCTGAAATCCTGGTCAAGTTCCAAAACAAATGCAATCATACAGTATTTGCATGGAAGACAGGAAGAGGATTTTGCAACAAAGCATTGCCTGAGAACCTAGCGCTCCTTCAGTCCCTACACTTGCCTATCAGTGTTCTCCAGCAGGAGGACATGCCAGCTCCCCGACCCCAGCACCAAGAAACATGCTGCCTCCTAAGCCCAGGCCCCGGCCTCTACCACCTGTGCTTGCAGCAAGTAGTGCTCCTTCTGCACATTTTTAAAAGCGATGCAATCAGCACTCCAGAGGAACTGTCCTTCCAGATCAACCTATGAAGACAGATTCTGAGCCACACAAGAATATCTTCACTTTGTAGCTATCCTTATTTTTCATCAGCGACAGTCTCTTTCTCTTTGGCCTTTACAGACTGTCAGTATTGGCTATGACTGCTGGACCCTGTCCAAAAACCAAGTATAACTCTATGTATTAGGTCAGGCCTAATTTTGAAACAGTGAGACAGATTTTTCAGGATGCAAAGAGACAAAAAAGGAGCTAAAAGAGTTCATCTCTAGTCTCATATATTCTTCTAAACTCAAGGGCAAAGATCATCCAGTTGTTACCTATGCTGGTTTCGACCATGAGATTAGATCTTCTTTTCAAATGTTTGGACAGTTAAAGTCTAATTTCTTAGAGTGGAATAAACAAATATCTGGAAACTGAGAGCATAATAATATGTAACTATTTAAAGAGGTGTTTTAGTCCCTTTAACTCTGAGATTATAGGGCCTCTAAAAGGCCTGAACCCCATGGAAGAGAAACACTCAGTAGACTTATCTGAGTGGATGCACTGAGCTATTACTATTATTGATTAGCTTAGTTTGGTGTGGGTGAAGTGCACATCTGGAGCAACCCTGAGCTATCCTTTGTTCTTTGACAATACATTTCTTATCTATTCTCAGAAATATTCTCCCTAATGTTAATAGGGACCTTTTCTTTTTCTTTTTTTTAGAGAGGCAGAGTGGACAGTGAGAGAGAGAGACAGAGGGAAAGGTCTTCCTTATGCTGTTGGTTCACCCTCCAATGGCCGCCGTGGCCGGCGCGCTGCGGCTGGCGCACTGCGCTGATCCGATGGCAGGAGCCAGGTGCTTCTCCTGGTCTCCCATGGGGTGCAGGGCCCAAGGACTTGGGCCATCCTCCACTGCACTCCCTGGCCACAGCAGAGAGCTGGTCTGGAAGAGCGGCAACCGGGACAAAATCTGGCGCCCTGACCGGGACTAGAACCCGGTGTGCCGGCGCCGCAAGGCAGAGGATTAGCCTAGGGAGCTACGGCGCCGGCCAATAGTAACCTTTTCAATAGCTGCTTTCCAACTCTCATTGTCCCTGAAGATGAAGAAAACAATCTTCAGCCAGTAAGAAATTTATTCTTCCCCCTTTACCTAAGTCCCATCTTTTTAGGCCAAGCCAATGTGTGCTCACTGTGTGATCCATGAATCATAAATTCTTGCAAGAACTGACCATTCAGAACACTTCCCAAGTCTCATTGAAAGTCATTGGGCTTCTGCCCTGAATACACCTTAAATGTGTCCTTTTACAAATCTTGCTTATTTCCATCAACAGTATTTTGGTGCCCAACATGGGACCCAGAGAAGACTCAGGACCCTTGGAGGTCCAGATTAGCACATGGTACCAGCATGGGACGCTGCACCCCTCTGACCTAAGCTTCTCCCCTGGGTGGAATGCTAACTACTCCTGGGCCTCCAGACATCCCTTCTGGTCATTGATGTCCTGGGTTTATTCCTGGCCCATTTTCCCCTTTTTGTTTTTGTCCTTCTTGCTCAGAGCACTTTTCAGTACCTTAAGTCACATGTAAGAGGCCGCTCCTTCTTGATCCTATCTATTGGCTATTTCAAAAACTAAACAACAAGGAGATCAACTTCTTTCTGGTGTGCATGGAAATATCTGAGTAAATAAAAACATTTTATTAAAGGTGATTTAAGTCTTACATTTCCAAAATGGGAAATGTTTAATATTGTGAAATTAGTTTTTCTTCGGTAAACATTGGAAAGGCACTTGGGATGACTGCACCCCATGTGGGCATGCCCAGTCTGCATCCCAGCTACTCCATGCGTCTTATTTAAATCCAGCTTCTTGCTAATGCCCCTGGGAGGCAGTGGATGACGGCTCCAGTACTTGGGTCCCAGCCGCCCATGTGGGATTCCTGGATGGAATTCCTGGCTTAATTCTGGCCTAACCTTGGTTGTTATAGGCGTTTGGAGAATGAACCCTCTTGAACCCCACCCAGCAATTTGCCTTTCAAATAAATGAATCTTTTCTTAAAAACTTAGAAAGGGTAGACTCTTGAACAAAATCTATAGAATAAAAAAGCTATTTTGACTGGTACTTTGAGGTTAAAAAATGAAGCAAGTAAGAAAATTTTTGGACTGTCACAGAACTTAAAAGGGCCACTGGAGCTGCAACAGGAAAACCAACCACATTGAATCTGCACACCCACTTGTTCTACATGCAGTTCCTCCCTGTCCTTCCTCCCCCTAGTTTCCTCATACACTAGATCTCAAGTTTGCTCACCTCCCCGCAGCTGAACCTTTGCCTGTAATTAAGGAAAGGAAGGAAACCCTACATGAAGGGACAAATCTTGTAACTGCATCTTTTAGAACCAAACCCACTGGATGTGGGGAACTACATACTACGTATGTTCCCTGGACAAAAAGAGTTAAAAGCCTTAGTCTCAGGATTTCATGATCCAATGCAAGACATACTATGATCTATAAAAGAATTTAAAATTACTTCTCAAAGTAATTACTCTCAAGAAGTCTTACCCGGTGCTGTGGCTCAATAGGCTAATCCTCTGCCTTGCGGCGCTGGCACACCAGGTTCTAGTCCCGGTCAGGGCGCCGGATTCTGTCCCGGTTGCCCCTCTTCCAGACCAGCTCTCTGCTGTGGCCAGGGAGTGCAGTGGAGGATGGCCCAAGTCCTTGGGCCCTGCACCCCATGGGAGACCAGGAGAAGCACCTGGCTCCTGCCATCAGATCAGCGCAGTGCGCCGGCCGCAGCGCGCCAGCCGTGGCGGCCATTGGAGGGTGAACCAACAGCAAAAGGAAGACCTTTCTCTCTGTCTCTCTCTCACTGTCCACTCTGCCTGTCCAAAAAAAAAAAGAAGTCTTGACATAGGCCCCTGCCCTAGGACAAGCCTGTTAGCTATGGTAGCCAACAGTTATGATGTGGGCAGGCAGGTAGCTAGGGAATGAGAAGCTGAGGACTGCACACCTGAGCAGACCAAACCCCGTCTCCTTTTGTGAGTGACACCTGCAGGCTGGAAGTATCAGTCTGACTGCAGGTTCAGTACACCCATTCCCCATCATGCACTGGAGCCTCACTTCCCATGGTGCATAAGCTGCCATGACGCCTTCCTAGAGAGAGCAGTGTGTACTCCAGCCCTGCATGGAGACACCATGATACTTCTGAGATCCCCAATAAAGCAACATCAAAGCTAGTGGTGTTCAAGTCCCGCCCAAACCCCACCACCATTGAATACTGCCCTGCCCTGGGCACCATCCCCTAGCCTATAAAAGGATGACCTGCTGGTGGGGGCAGCAGCACTGCCCTCCTCCTAAAGAGAGGTTGCCCGGACTCACATCTGAGCATGTGCTATGTCTTTCAATAAATCCTGCTCTCCTCTATACCTTTGCATCTTCTCTTCCATTTCTTTTTTTTTTTAAGATTTATTTATTTATTTGAAAGGCAAAGTGACAGAGACAGAGACAGAGAGACAAAGAAAGGGGCAGAGAGAGATTGTCCATCCACTGCTACACTTCCCAAATGACTGCAATGGTCAGGGCAAGGCCAAGTCAAAACCAGGAGCCAGGAGCTTCAACTCCCACATGAGTAGCAGGGGCCCTAGGACCTGGGCCATCTTCCACTCTTTCCTGGTGCATTAGCAGGGAACTGGGTCAGAAGTGGAGCAGATGGAACTCAGGCCAGCTCAGATGGGAAGCTGGTGTTGCAGGCAGTGGCTTAACTCACTGCACCACAATGCTAGGCCCTCCTCCCTAAATTCTTTTCTCACGTGGAAGCAAAAACTTGGAGCAAGTCCAGCTGGGGACTGAATTCCCCACAACAATTAGACCTTATAGGTCAAGAACATGCCCTTGCATGAGGGTGACTTCAGTGGCTCCCAATGAAACCATGGACAGCAAGCTTCCCAACACTGCATAACACACTAACAGCTGACAATAGTCATTTGCCCACCTACTGCACAGTAACATAATACTTTGGGATTAAGAAAAAATCTGCTGCCATGTCTTTCCAGAACCCCTGATATGACTAGACATAATTTGTGGCAGCCAAGATTGTAAACAGAGCCTGTGCAGATCGACTCAGACTGACCTGAGAGTTACCTTATGCTTCATTATCACGGTAGGTGACACACATGCTATGATGTTTCTGCAGCCATGTTTAACCATGCGATGTGAGGGCATGATTTATCAAGGTGCATGCTTTAAGGACTTTCCTTACCCTTCACCTCTGCACCTGTCACGTTCTGTCACACTGCTGTGCCCAGTTACACTCCATTTACTCTAACTCATCAATTCCCTAACCCCATTTGAATGGGAAGATTTATGGGGCTTTGACATGATCTGCTCATTTCTATAGGCCTATAATAATAATAAATGTTCCCTTTCTCAGATGAATTCACTTTTTATAATAGTAATAATGTGTGCAAATAGGAGGACTTGTGGTTCAACAACAGCACCCTTTGTAAACGTATAAGCCAACATTTCCACCTTGTGTATTACCTCCTGTCCTCTGGGTTGGAGGAACAAGTTCTGTTAGAAAAATAAAAAATCGCTAATTGAGTCTTTCCACAGTGAGCTCCTGGGAGATGAAGACACCAAAGACCACAGACTGAACCCTGGGGCTTCGTGGGGCTGGCATTTTAAGCTGTTAAGAGGCTGCTTGGAACTCCCACATCCCATTTAAGAGTAGCTTTAAGACGTGAGAGTTCCTCCACCACTTCTGATTCCAGCTTCCAGCTAATGTGCACGCTTGGACACAGTGGTGACAGCTCAAGTACTTGGGTCCCTGTCACCCATGTGGGAGATCTGAAGTTTAGTTCTGGCTCCTGGCTTCAGCCTGGCCCAGTCCTGGCTATTGTGGGCATTTGGGGGAGTGAACCTGCAGATGTAATGTCCCCCCGTATCTCCATCTTTTGGCCTTTCCAAAAAAATATCCCTGGAGATTTTTTGCTTTGGAAAAGAAACCAGATAAAGGAGTCCCCACATCCTTGATGGAAAGGACCCTATCAAGCACTTCTTACCAACTCCTGCACTGCCAAACGGAAAGGAGTCAATCATTGGACACACATCCACACTTCAAGCATGCACCTGATTCGACACCTAAACCAATGAGGACTGTGAAAGCCATCACTGACTCGTCTTTTACAAACATAAGATGAGCCAAACAGGATAACTGATGACCACAAACTTTAACTTCTTACCTGTATGTTGTTATATGATATCTCCACTGACCCTGAATGTCTTAATTTAGCCACTGAAGACTTTCCTTTGGAAATCCAGCATGATCCTTGATATATGCTCTTATAGGGTTCTGATAATGATTAGAACTGTATTTAAACTTTATCATATATTCATAAGTAACATATTTCCTTTGATTAATGCTCTATGTCTTCTAGAGATAGCACCCTCAAACCTCCTCACGATGTAATCAGTGTAGAAATAGCTTGGCCTAGGGTCAGCATTGTGGTGTAGCAGCCACCACCTGGGATAACCACACCCCATGTGGGCACTGGTTTGAGTCCTGGCTTTTCCACTGCCAGGCCAGCTCTCTGCTGTGGCCTGGGAGTGCAGTGGAGGATGGCCCAAGTCCTTGGGCCCTGCACTCAGGTGGGAGACCCAGAAGTTCCTGGTTCTTGGCTTCAACCTGGCCCAGCTCTGGCCATTGCTGCCATTTTGGGTGTGAACCAACGGCAAAGGAAGACCTTTCTCTCTGTCTCTCTCTCTCACTGTCCACTCTGCCTGTCAAAAGAAAGCAAATCTTGAAAAAAAAAAAAAAAAAGAATGGCTTGGCCTGAAGAAACGTTAACAATACAAACTAAGAAAATAACAGTACTACACACCTCTAATGAGGTCACAGGGTCTGAATGATGGAGATAACAGAACCTCTGAACCCCACAAAAGAAGGATGGGAAGATGACCTTCTGAGATGATGAACCACAGTCTCTGGGATGGATGAAGGCACAGCCAAAGGCGGGGGTACGACACCACAAAGGAAACATGCAAATGAAGTGAAAGTCTGCATGCTGAGCAGGAAGCCATCCATAGCTCTCCACCTGCCCCCACTGAGCTTCACAACTGGCTGGCAAAATGACCTCCCTGGCAGGATCCAGCAGCACTCCTTTGTGGGATGCCTGCCTGAACCAGAAGAAACATCCCCTAGGTACAAATATTTAGGGCCCACAATGAAATTTATTTATTTATTTGTTTTTTACTTGAGAGTCAGAGTCACACATAGAGAAGAAAAGCAGGAAAAGAGAGAGAGAGAGAAAGAGGTCTTCCATCCGATGCTTTACTCCTCAACTGGCCGCAACGGCCGGAGCTGCACCGATTGGAAGCCAGGAGCCAGGAGCTTCTTCCGGGTCTCCCACACAGGTGCAGGGGCCCAAACACTTGGGCCATCTTCTACTGCTATCCCAGGCCATAGCAGAGAGCTGGATTGGAAGAGGAGCACCCGGAACTGGCTCCCACATGGGATGCCGGGGCGTCAGACTAAGGTGTTAACCCACTGAGCCACAGTGCCGGCCCCTGAACACTACAGACTTGATGATAACTGCTAATGTGGATGACAGATCCAATTACATAGAGAAGAGGAAACAATGGCAACACAAAATAAAATAAAAACTGTAATGGATATATGAAAGAGAAAAGACAGGGGCCGGCCCTGTGGCACAGTGGGTTAAGCCTCTGCCTGTGATGCCTGCATTCCATATGGGTCTTGGCTTGACACCCAGCTGCTCTACTTCCCATCCAGTTCCTGGCTAATGTGCCTGGGAAAGCAGCAGAAGATGGCCCAAGTACTTGGCCCAAGTACTGCACCCATGTGGCAGACCTGGAAGAAGTTCTGGGCTTCTGGCTTTGGCCCTGCCCAGCCCCAGCTGTTACAGCCATTTGGAGAGTGAACGCGCAGAGGGAAGATCTCTGTCTCTCCTGCTCTCACTGTAACTCTGCCTTTCAAGCAAATAAAAAAAAATAAATCTTTAAAAAGAGAGAGACAAGAGAAATACCATGTCCATAGAACAAGCAAGTATGTTATAATAAAGAGATAATTAGAGAATTTAGAAAGAAGCACTATGGGAAAGCACTTGGTGCAGTGGTTAAAATGCTCTTTGGGAGGCCTGTGTCCCCTATCAGGGTGCCTTGTCCCAGGTGCTTGGGCCCTGCACCCCATGGGAGACCAGGAAAAGCACCTGGCTCCTGGCTCCTGCCATCGGATCAGCGCGGTGCGCCGGCCGCAGCGCGCCGGCCGCGGCGGCCATTGGAGGGTGAACCAACGGCAAAGGAAGACCTTTCTCTCTGTCTCTCTCTCTCACTGTCCACTCTGCCTGTCAAAAAAAAAAAATAATAAAATAAAAAAAAAATAAAAAGAGAGAGACAAGAGAAATACCATGTCCATAGAACAAGCAAGTATGTTATAATAAAGAGATAATTAGAGAATTTAGAAAGAAGCACTATGGGAAAGCACTTGGTGCAGTGGTTAAAATGCTCTTTGGGAGGCCTGTGTCCCCTATCAGGGTGCCTTGCTTGAGTTGTAGCTCTGCTTTTGCTCCAATTCCCTGCTAATACACATCCTTGCGAAGGCTCATCACAAGGCTCCCTGGCACTCCTGTGGGAGACCTGGATGCAGTTCCAGGCTCCTGGCTTCTGCCTGGCCCAAACCTGGCTGTTGTGGACATATGGGGGAGTGAACCAGCAGATGTTACATTTCTATCTATCTGCCTTTTAAATACAAGGAAAATAAAGAAATTTTAAAAAGTTCTTAAAAGGAGCCCTTGGCATTTAAAAATATGACCACCTTAATAGCCCATTTCATAGAAGAATTAACACATGCCCTGGATCCTACTTATTGTGGGGCCCAGAGGCAATGCTAAAGGCCTCTTGGATGGCACATAGAGCTTCTGGGGCAAACGGGCACTACTGCCCTGCCTTGGGAGTCACACAGCTGAGAACAGGAGCCACCTGTCTTTGAATGGCCACGTCTGCCTGGGCAGTAACCACAGTTTGCACAGCTCAGCGTAATCCCGACAGACTGAAGCTTCAATGTTTTCACCAGGTTTTTCTGGACTTTGTAGTTTCTTGAGAAGCTTCTGCACCGGGGATCAGCTACAGACATGAAAGAAAAGTGGTGTTGTGGTGCGGCAGGTTAAGCGGCTGCTTGCGACACCAGCATCCTGTATTGGAGCACCTGTTCAAGTCTTAGCTGTTCTGCCTCTGATCCAACTCCCTGATAAAGCACCTGGGAAAGCAGCAGAAGGTGGCCCAAGTGCATGGGCCCCTGCCACCCACGTGGGAGATCCAGACGGAGTTCCAGGTTCCTGGTTTTGGCCTGGCCCAGCCCCAGGCACTGTCGCTATTTAGGAAATGAGCCAGTGGAGAGAAGCTCTCTCACATTCTCTCTCCTCTCTCTTGCTATCATTCTGTCCATCCAATAAATACATATTTTTTAAAAAGCAAATCAAAAATCAAAGAAAAAATATTATTGCTTCACTATTTATGGAGAGGTGGAACTTGGACATGAGTTTTGTTTAATTTAGAAAAATCAGTGGGGACTGGCGCCATGGTGCAGTAGGTTAATCTTCTGCCTGCGGCGCCGGCATCCCATATGTGCACCGGTTCTAGTGCCGGTTGGCTGCTCCTCTTCTGGTCCAGATCTCTGCTGTGGCCTGGGAGGGCAGTGGAGGATGGCCCAAGACCTTGGGCCCCTGCACCCACATAGGAGACCGGGAAGAAGCTCCTGGCTCCTGGCTTCGGATTGGCGTAGCTCTGGCCGTTGCACCCATTTGGGGAGTGAACCAATGGAAGGAAGACCTTTCTCTCTGTCTGTCCCTCTCACTGTCTGTAACTCTACTTCTCAAATAAATAAAATCTTTAAAAAAAGAAAAAAGCAGTGATGTTTCTTGCACCCATTTTTGGTAGAGCCCATTTATACCCACTACAGCACAGTATCTTGACTTGCTTGGTCTGAGTAGCATAAGACTGCAGAGTGGACAACGAGAGGGCTCCTAGGATCCCTAGGGCTTAACTCTTGTCCTGAAATGGCTCTGTGTTCCCATGAATGGGGTCACCATCAACCCCACAGGCAGTCCCAGCTATTCTGATTTTCAGTGACTCAGACTGTTGGGA